GCATCCAAATGATGCACCCAGGCTAAGGTGGTTTAACCTGAGGTAAGCCTTTTACTCTGGCTTACACTCGAGTTAAAAACACCTGCAACAATCTGGCAGTGGAGACTGCCATCTGGGACTGCCATACACGTTCCCAGTTGCCATCCAGCACTCCCTGGACTCAGACAGCCTGGGAGGTATTGCCTCCTGAGTCTCCCTGTGCCTGATTACCTCCAAAACCGCAGGGAATCATTCTTACCATTGCAGGAAGCTAACCCTACATGTCACCTGGACCCAAACTATATTGATTTTTAAGTGTCAGAGGTAACACTTTGTACTTTGCCTGGAAAGTAAATGGCAACCAATGGAGTTACTTTAGTATGGATGTAATATGCTCACTCCTGGAAGTTCCTGTAATCAATTTGGTTCCCATATTTTGAACCAATTGGAGTTTCCTATCTTGGTACAGAAGTAACCCGATATACAGTAGCCCAATATACAGTGAGGTTACCAGTGTGTTAGGTCCTAGGAAGGGGTGCAGCTGGCACATCAGCGAAGCTGGTAGTAATTGCTCCTGACTATCGTATCTACCTGGGCTGACATTTGGAGAGATTGATCTAGGAGCACTCCCAAGTTGTGAACACAGTCTTTCAACGATAGTATAACACCATACAGAACTGGTTGACACACTTCTATCCCAAGGTTAGGACGCTTGATGGCAAACATTTCTGTTTTATCTGGATTTAATTTCAATTTGTTTTTCTTCATTCCAGCCCATTGGTAGCACAATGGGTTAAATCCTTATGCTGGCTGAACTATTGTCCTGAAGGTGGGCCGTTTGAATCCATGAAATGGGATGAGCTCCCATCTGTCAGCTCCAGCTTCCCATGTGGGAACATGAGAGACATCTCACAGAATAGTCAAACATCCAAGTGTCCCCTGGACAACATTCCTGCAGACAGCCAATTCTCTCACATCTGAAGCGACTTGCAATTTTTTAAGCCGCTTCTGACACGATTAAAAAAACCCCTCCATGCATTCATTCAGAGAAGACACACCATCCTTAGCTGAGGCCATTTTAAAGGCATGGAGAAATATATTTGTAGCCACAAATATATGCATAGTCACAATGGGGCTCAGAATCAGCATTTTTGTGCCGGTTCGAGCTGTATAATGAGGCTGTACATAAGTGCCCATTGTGGAAGGCTAGAGTTAGATGTCATTGGAGGATATAGGCTACACAAGAATTGATTTGTGACAGCTTTGGGGCATGCTTTGTGTCTACGTGATGCCAATAATGGCAAACTGGACTTCGTGAACTATGCAAAAGATTAATCTTAATGGAAGGGGAAGATGCCAGATACCTAATGTTTGCCACTTGCCAACATTAAAATATATTGGCAGACAGTATCTTCCATCAACTTGTCACCATGGAGAGTCATTAGGAATTGTGGGTTGTAGTTCAATAGCTACCGAAAGGCCATATTTTTCCTATCTGCTTTATCTGACCAGGAGATAGTAACATTCCTTGTTTCTCTCTTCAAGGGGCTTCATTTTGAGGAGGTTCTCATAATTTCATTCTCATGATTAACTGTAGAAAAAAAGTAGTCCTAGCAAGTGAAGTTCAGTGAGAGTCCAGATGGAACATCTGACTGGCAGGCTTGCTGCTTGAAAGCTACTGTACATTGAAAGGGATGTGATTCTGTGTTGGTGCACTACAACGACATTATAGCATTTGATCAGGTTGTACATTGATTTTCTTTCATGTAAATAAAGAGGTAGGGTTTCAGGGTCCTCATGGAGTTCATCAAGAACTTTCTGAACTTGGGCCGTGTTTCTGACTTCATACATTGGAAATGGCAAAAGAAGAGAGGCCATGCTAAAGAGTATGGCCACTTTCTGTGTTTCTCCATTTTAGCTTGTAAATTTGAGCAAGATATGAACAGCTGTGGGAGGTTAGGAGGTTATATTAGCTCTCCAGGAGACCTTGTGGGGTGATACCACATACTGCACCCCAGGTTAAGCAATCAACAAAAATGTTCCCAAATGCTTACAATGGTTTGGGGGAATTTTGTCCATGCTTTTAGGACCTCCCTGCCCCTTTTAAGTCCAGAAGAGGAATTTTTAACAATAAGAAGTGATTGGAAATTACAGTCTGGAAGCACCTTAAGTGTGTCTACTCCACTGGGACTAGTGCATTCTCTCTCTGTGTGTGTCTGTCTCCCCCCCACCCCACACACACTCTTTTTTGACTGGAGGAGAACTCTACCTCCAGAGCTTCTATTCAGTTTGGTTCCTCAGTGAGAATTAGGCCAAAGGCAAATAACGTTTTCCTGGAAACAATAAATGTGGTTTCCCAAGTACCAGAAGATACTCTACTGGTTCTTCTTGTTGTGTGACTTGGCATGTTGCAACACATAAAAGGGCTTTTTCACGTTCCTCCAGACACCACTGAATAGTCTATTCTTATGCCCTTCCACAACCAAGGGTTGTGTTCTTTGCCACTGAGAATTTTAATTCTTATATGAATTATTTTATTGTCTCCTTTAAAATCACTGCCTTATAGTGGTGTGGCCTTCAGTATTGAAAAAGCAGAGCTATTCAGGTAGGGAATCAAAGTGGATGTGTAATTTAATGGGCAATTCCAGTGATTGCTTGTTTGGTTATGAAATTTGCATTTGTACCATACTACAGAATTCCTTTTATTTCCTCAAGGGAGAAAGTGTGTGTGATGTTTGTACCGGGGTTAATTCTTATCAACCTATTTCTTTTTTTAAAAAACCTTGTGACAAGAGGGAAATGTAATTTGAAATAAAATGAAACTTTTGGTAGCTTGGAACACCTAGATTTCTTTTTATTTCTACCAAGAAAACTAGTTGTAATTAAAGTAATGTAATAAAAACAGAATAGTTCGTAAATATTAATATTGTAGTTCAAACTTGCACTGTATGCTTTTGTAAAAGAAAATAGTACTCAAGGCATCAGCATCTTCTTAGGTCTGCTCCAAAAGTACACAGTCAGATATGGTTTGGTGTTTGTCATGGTGATAATATGGATAGAGTGAAGGTTTTGAAATATTTCATTTTAGTTATTCTACAAAGTACTGAAAATGACTAGTTTTCAACATTATAGAAAGAAGTTTCTCTGTGTCTTTTCATTGCTCTGAGGGTTGCTTGAAAACCTCAGATAAGGTGTGTAAACCTGTAACATTTCTAGAGGTTTTGAAGCCATAGGGGGGGAAACCAAATTTTTCCAGTTATTGTAGAAATAATTGAAAATGCAATATTAGCATTCTTTGCAGATTGAAAGTTACTTAATTACACTAGGAACTTAAACTGCACTAATTTTAATATGGGTGTTCTCATAAAATTATGTTTGCCTTATTTAAAGTACAATTTACTCAGAATACACTTAGAAATCGAGCTTACTATTTAAATTTTTGTTAGAAATGGCACTATAGAGTTCTGAGCACCCAAACTAAGAAACTTCCTTTTACTCCAATAAAAAGAGGTAAATAGCAATGTTAGTAAAACAGGAAATTATTTTGACTATACTAGTTCTCCATAGTATCAAACAGACATAATAAACTCCTGCCCATAAAAAAACTGAAAAAGGGAACCAGAATTAGAAATTATAATATATTAATACTAAATAGTCTTAAATAAAAGTCTTCCTTCTACACGAAATTCAGAAATGATTTTGAGGCAGTATATATGTAAACACTTTTTATTAAATCATTCTAAAAATATTATTCAATACTTCCCCCCCTCCCCCAAGAGTTTTTGGGGGAAAGACTGAAGAAAGAAAAGAAAATCCCTGGGAAACAAGTAACAGGTGTTTCCATATTTTCCTTGAATATTTACATCTCTAAATGTACTTAGAATACACAAACTGAAGCAACTAAACCAAAGCTCCAACATTAGAGTTTCCTTTGATAAGGGACATAACAGTTTTACAACTATTGCTATTGTTTGTATTGTTGGGACAGTTTGATGTTATGAAGAATAGAGACACAGATCTAACATTGTATTTTGTTTAGTCTGAAACCTGACTAAATTTTGGCATTTTACTAAATTTTGGCATCTTACTAAAAGCACTTTTTAAACACTTTAAAAGTGAATTAATTCAGGACAAAGCAGGTAAATTGGATACCCTATTAGACGCAGGGCTTCCTAAAAGCTTTGAGTCTAATGGGCTATTGGGCCTGTGGGGTCTCACCACCAGGTAGTTCTGGGATTACCCGGGAGTGGGTCCCCATTGTTACCTCACTTTTTTGGGGTTTCCAAAAGCCCAGAGGAGTGAGATGGCGCCCACCCCTTACCCCAATCTCCCCAAAACAGCCTTTAAAACTTGTAAAAACCAGGCTGCCATTATGGTGGTCTTGGAGTCCTCCTGGCAGATAGAAATTAATGCCAGGCGACTGGGAGAGGGGGGAGGAGGAAAATCGCTCCCCACCCCCTCCATCTCCTGGCATTTCATTTCCAGGAGGATTCCAAGACTGCTGTAATGGCAGCCTGCTTTTACAAGTTTTTAGGGCTGTTTTGGTTTTTTTTTTAAGGGTGGCCCCGTACCATCTAGGTAGATACTGAAATGGCATGAGGACACCCCACTGGAAAATCCTGTTTTTTTTAGGTGGGTGTATGGATTTAAACCCACAGCAAATAAGGTTTTAAACCCGCTTTGGCACAGGCTTAAGCCATGTCTGGAAGCGTCATAAGTGTCATAATGGAATATTTTTAGCTATGGGTAGAATGTTATGTCCATTTGCTTAAAGTGCACACAATATTTTTAAAAACTTCCTTTTTTTCTATAAGTGCCCAGCTCTGACTTGCAATTGTGTTAGTAATTTTAATCTAAACCCTTTTAAATGAATTTTGTATGTTTGAGGCACTATGTAGGTGCCATTGGAAGCTGCCTTGAGTCCCCCTTGGGTTAGAGATAAGGTGAGATATAAATAAGGCAAATAAATAAATAAATAAATAAATAATGTTAATTTCTTGTTTTTTTCTGTTCTTTTCTAGAAATAAAAAATGGCATTTCAAAAGGCAATGAAAGGAACTGTACTCGTTGGGGGCGGTGCTGTAGCAACCGTTTTTGCCCTCTCACAACTTTCTCAATATAGAAAAAAACACGTGAGTAGATTGTTTACTTGTTTTTGATGTGCTGTTGTGCATGTAAGTTGAAACCTCACAATGTGTGGCTCAGTCATTGAAGCCTCTCTCACTTTGCTAGCTATTGCAGTTCCCCAGCAAAACAGGGACATAATTCTATAGCTGGGAATGACTGAACTTAAAAAAGGGGTGGGGAGGGCAGTTGGAGATGGTATTACCTGATTCTTTTACGGTCTTACATATTCTCCCTGCACCTGGCACATTGAGATATGTTATTCCTGCTGCAAGCCAGAGTATAAAATATATAAGGCGTACCTCAAATAAAAATTACAGCTGACATGATTGTGGGTGCCCATTTACCATATGTATATGTTCTGTCAGGGAGTGGGGTATCTATGGTCCTTGAAATGTTGGCAGTCTTCAGCTCCCATTAATTTTAACATAAACAGTGGTGTGGATTGATGGTAGTTAAAATCCAACAATCTTGGAAGTTCCACACATTTCCCATCTCTGTCCTAGGTGAGTATCATTTTTTGGTCTTTCAGTGTGTTTAAGATAACATATATTTTCTTCTATTTAAAATGGCAGGAAGAGAAAGAAGGCGAAGAATGTTGAGGACCTACAAATGTTTTGTTCTTACTATTGAAGTTTTGGGCAATGTAAATGTACTGTGTTTTCATACAAATTTTTAGTTGTTGATGGGATGCTGTCTGGAGACTAATGTTCTAGGTATGGCTTCTGGAAAAAATGACGGCAAGGGTGTTTGTGGGATATCTGTTCACAGCAGTTGGATCAGTTGATCTGGTCTGTATACATATTGAACATTCAAGCTTTAAAATTACCTTTTCATAGCTCGTTATGTCAGGAAGAAGTTCCAGTTGTGGGAGATCTGAGGGCTAATTTTCTATTTCAAAAATTGTCTGGCCAGAGAATAATGCCAAAAGAAGACAGACAAACCAACCTATAACAAATTAATTGGAAGGAGCTAGAAGTCTCCTCCTGGTTTTGGGGAAAAAAAAAAGAAAACCCACATTTTTTGACCCAGGCTTTGTCTTGCAGCCTCTGCTTTCTGGGAGGCTTTCAGTAGCGATAACTCATACATTTTTGGCTGAGCAAAGACCACTGTGAAGATTTCAAGGGTTACTAAAACAGTCTTGGGATAAGCATAGTTTGAAGCCCTGTTAGTCAAGAGCTATTTCCTATACTAATGATGTAGAAGATGCTTCCATTTTGAAAAATTGGGAGGAATTCCCTATTTATGCATGTGGGGGAGCTGATCTGGGTGTGCCATTCATGACTTGGCTCCATATCTGAGTTATGCATAGCACCTCTGTTGTAGCTTGTGCATGGAACCCTTATGTCCTCACTGAAATGTCTTGTGGTAGCTTTCATAGGGCTCCAAAAGCCCATGACTCTTTCTTTTGATATTCTACCCATGATGCCTTCCTCTCAGGCATGAAATTAGGAGAGAGAACATGATTGTGGTCTTCCAAGTCTGGAGCTTTTGAGTTGTGTAAGGGAATTGTCCCTTACCTCGAATTGCCTCTTATTCAATGCCCATATGCCTTATGAGTCTCCATTTCATGCATTTTTAAGGGAAAGGTTAGCATTTTTCTCTGTATAGCATCGGTAATTATTGTGTTCCTGCTGGTTTGTTGCTTTGAATGAGAGGAAGCCCATTTTTTTCTTTTTCAGCTCCTTATGATTTACTCATTTCAACAAATTGGACTATAGAGTGAAGATGCAGTTATCTTTAAAATTCACAATTCATTTTTCAATCCATAGGCAATTGTAGTCAGCATATAATGTGTAAAAAATAGACACAAGTGAGTATTTAGAGATAATCCACACAATACACGTTTGTTCGTAGGTTCTTGTTTCCTAGCTCAAACTGAAGAGTGATTGAAGGCATGTCCTGCTCCTCTTCTCCTCGTCCTTCAGCACAGTTTTATGGTTGCAAATCTTCATCAGAGAAATAGAATTCAAAATGTGGGAGAAAATCATAGTCAACACTTCTCTGTTAAAGCTTGGGGCATACATTTCCCTATTATTCTAAGTTGCACATCCATTGTGTTGCATTGTCCCCTCGTAGCTATTGCCTATCCAGACCCAATATAGGACAGCAGGTGGGATATTACTGGAGGGAGAGATGCAAAGGAGAACATCCCATTTACAGTGTTGACATATCTAAACTGCAGGCATGTCTGGCAGCCAAACTGTCCTCTCTTTAATAATGCCTGCCAATCACACAGATGATGGGGCGAAAGACCTCTGTGTCTGCAAGATGTAAGAAGGGAAGTTGCCCCAAGACGCGCTCTAATTGGCTACCCAGTGCAGGAGGTTCCTAGCTTTTTCTAAATGAGTCTTTTCAACATTCGCTAGCACTAAGAGAGGACATAATTCAATTAGCATGTGTGCAGATTGTATCTTATATTGCCTAGGAACATCCAATTTACTCTCTAACAAGCTGGTTTGCAGTAGCGTGCCATTCATTTCTCTTTTCAGGAAGCCATAGACTGGTTTCTGTCTTACTGTCGTCATCCTAATTTAGATTTTTGTTTTTTAAAACCTTAATTATCAGGACCTTTATTCCTCAAAAAAGTGCAGAGATCTGGAAGGTAGGCACTCTGTACAGGTGGTTAGTGTGCTCACATGAGAGTTAAAAGTGTGCAAATTTAGGGTCTACATCTATGAATTCAACTACCCATGGCTTGAAAATATTTTTAAAATTCCAAATAGAAAACCTTTATTTTGGCATGCACCTAGTTCTAAGACACATATCACTCTGCTGATATGTAAACATACCTGCTGTAGCTTCAGGCTCTCTCCAACACTCATTTCAGTTGTTTTATATAAGATACACTATTTTACTACACCATTGTACATAATGGGAATTGAACACCCACTGATATTGGTATTCAGAAACCAAACCCCAGGAGATACCAAGCATTCATAGTACGGTACTCATTTCCCAACATTCCCATATTAACAGAAAAGTTCTGAAGGAAGGCTTTTGCTTCTGTTTGTTAGAAGGCAAGTATCAGTTGTCTTACAGTCTCTAATCATGTTCTAATATGAGCTTCCCTGCTCAGCATACATGAGATAGTAAGGGACTGAGCAGGTGGGAACATTAAGTGTTGGGCTTCCACCCTCTACATGTTTTGCCCACATGTGAGTTGGCTGTGGCTAAGTACTGAACTTCTTGTGAACAAGGTCTTGTTCAGAGTGTTCACCTACACTGTATAATAACACCACATTAAGTCTTCATCCTTCTGTGCCAAAGAGTCCCAGTGGCTCTGCAAATCCCAGGAATCCATAGCATTGAGCCACAGCGGTTAAAGTGGTGTCAAACTGTATTAATTATGCAGTGTAGATACACCATTTTAGTTTTTCTTCCTTACTTACGATCTTTGATTGGTGTTTCCCAATGCAAGTCTTTTTGGTTCTCATCATTTTCATCTTTTATGATACCTTTCTGTAAAGATACTACCTTGTAAAACATCACAAATCACCACTTTTTATGAACATGCCACTAAAATATAGTCAAATAAAGAGACTTGTGCAAAAGATGGCACCAAATATGAAAAGAAGAAGCCAACCTCTTAAAACCAATGCCTTCTGTTAAGCTATAAAGGTAGCAGGATTTGATTTTGGTAAATGAAGTTGGGATTTTTCCCCCTATAGCTGGTCAGAGGGTCAGTTGATGGTCACCACTTCTCTCAAGTTAGGGAGCAAGAGAAAGAATGGCAGGGGAAAAGTATGCTGTACAAAATATATGTATTAATGTATTTTTAAACCACCCACTAATTGAAGTCCTCTGGACAACATACAAGGTTCCTTTGTGGAATGGGGCTGATGATGACAGCAAATAGGCAAGGACATCTGTTCAGAGTAGGTGGCAACAGGAAATACTTCATTCTGCCTTGGCTTGAACAGTATGTTATATTATTACTGTCCTGTTTGAGTTAATGATGGCTAGTAATGCTGTTTTATATTGCAGACAGTAGCATGTATTTACTACTTGCATGATTTAAATGTTCTCATTTTCATAGAATCATTGAGTAGAAAGAGACCCCCAAAGATCATCTGGCCCAATCCCATTCTGTCAGGCAGGAACACATTATCAAGGTCCTCCCGATAGATGGCATCCAGCCTCTGTTAAAAAATCTCCAGAGAAGACTCCAATAGGCATCCAGGGCTCTTCCAGACCAGCAAAAAATGCAAAAGGAATTGGGATTTTAAATACTAGTTTCTCTTGGGATGGGCCACACAGCTGGCCCAAACCTTGGGATTATACAGAGAGTAGGGTGTCCAGATACTCACCCCTGCTTATCTGAGATCAGTAGGTATGGGCATTGACACTGCCAGCCTCCCCCTCCCTTCCCCCCATTTCCCCTGCACTTACCGGGAGAACTCCAATAAGGCCTGAAACCTCCCTCCTTCCATCCCCCCTCCTTTGGAAGAACAGGCTTTGGGTAGAGGAGGGGGGATTTCTGCTCCAAGGCTCCCTATTGGATATTCTGTTGGAGGAAGAGAGGCAAAGGTTTCAGGCCTAGATGGAAGGCTTTCCCTCTAAAAATAGGGGGCAGGAAGGAGTCCAAACAGGAGGGAAGGAAGGTTTACACAGGCATAGAAAAAGATGTGTTTCTCAGGAAGAACCGGGTTGAAAGGGCAACTTTCAAACACGTGTTTTTCAGCCTTTAACTCGATTTCTCCTGCATTTTGGCTAAATGTAATTTAGCCACCCCACCCCCATTTTAACTCGGTTTAACCTGGGTTATAAAGAGTCCCTAGTTAGTTTATTCCACAGTCTAATAGCTGTTACCGTCAGAAAGTTCTTTCTAATGTTTAGATGGAATCTCTTTTCCTGTAAGACATTTTGTTGTGATATAATCCAGAACTGAAATAGATTTAATTGACATTTAATATACACATGATACTCAGTACTTGAGAGGTACAAGGTATTTTTATCATGACATAAAAGTTAAGTAAACAAAAATAATTGGTTGCTTCTTGTTCAGATAAGTATTCAGCCCCTCCCCTACTAATCACCTTTAAATATAATTACAGCTGTTAAGTCTTTCACTCATATACACATCTGGATTGTACACTTTTGGGCCAGTCCTCAACAGAATTGCTCCTATCTGGTGAACTTGTATAAGGACCATTGGCAAAAAGCAATTTTTATGGATGAACATTTGTGCAGCCAACAAGTGTCAGTTTGTCAGCTTTTTTGTCAATTGAAAATATCGGACTCCTTCACAGCATTCAGTATTGAGTGTGTGTAAAGTGATAAAACATGACTTAAATTCATTTTAGTTCCAGGTTATAACATAACGAAACGTGTCCAAGTCAAAATGTGGAGATGTATACACTTTGAATGGAGACTATCGAATTTCTTAACTTTTCTGGTTGGTGACTGTTTTAGAAGATAGAGATACACGTAATTTTCAGATGTTCTTCCCTTCACGTCATTCTAAATTGTGAGGCCTAGGAGGAATCTACACGAGCAGTTTATTAGAGCTGAGACCCTTGCCCATTTCATGTGCATGTATGTGTCAGCTTATAGAATCATACAATCATAGAGTTGGAAGAGACCTCGTGGGCCATTCAGTCCAACCTCCTGCCAAGAAGCAGGCAAATCACATTCAAAGCACCCCTGACAGATGGAGATCACATTTTATTTTTTAAATCTTTTATGCAAAGTACTTGGATGGTTTTGGCAATTTCCTGCTTTGAAATTTGGCCTGCAAGATGTAATATTCATTTACAGTCTCCTATCTATGTACTAACCAACTTAGGCCCCTTCTACATTGCCATATAAAATCCAGATTATCTGCTTTGAACTGGATTATATGGCAGTGTAGACTCCTATAATCCAGTTCAAAGCAGATAACATCGATTATCTTCTTTGATAATCTGGATTATATAGCAGTGTAGAAAGGGCCCCAGTTTCTGTAGTCAGATGGGATTTGGTGCTTTTGGAATATTTAGTCCACCATAGCCTAGTTCAAAAAAACTATACAATCTTTTATTTGGATATTCCCAGAAGTGTGTCAATATGGAAGATCTATGTATAATCATTAAAGTGACCAGATCAGTAGTTCCAGTTTCCAGTTCAGATGAGCATGTTGAATGGAGAGCAAGGGCTTGGATCCATGCAGAATGTGAACATTACTTTCTTTAGACTGTAACTTCATACGTGGGAGATCCTGTGTAGGATTTCCCAATAGCTAAACAGAAGCCCTTCTATACTGCCATATAATACATTTTTATAGTGCAGTTTAACTGACGCTGGATCTACACTGCCAAATAATGCAGTTGTAGAATGCAGTTTAACTGTATGGAACTGGATTATATGAATCTACACTACAAATAATGCAGTTCAGTGTAGTTAAACTGGCAGTGTAGATCCAGTCTGCATCGAACTGAACTATATGGCAGTGTAGACGTATACTGTATAATGCAATTCAGTGCAGTTAAACTGCATCATGAAACTTCATTTTATGGCATTGTAGATGGGACCAGAATTTTTTAAGGCGTTTTTAGTGCCAGGGTTCAGCTGGAGTGCCTTTGAAGGAAAATGATATAATTCGACAATACAGTGATATAATTGTAATGGTATTTTCTATAACAGGATGGCAGACTTCCTTGGTGGGTTCTGCAGAGTTATTTTTCTCAGACTAGTTCTTGTTCAGGTAACATTGATATATGCTCCACATTACAGTTTGAGGCATGTCTATGTAAAAGTCAACCCCACTGCACCCAGAATTATTCCCAAGTAACCATTACAATCTCGGTCAGGTTTCTGTGACTGTTTTCTTTCAAAGATAAAAATAGGAGAATGTCAATTGGCATATTTAAAGATAGTAATGTGGGAAAATAGTAATGAGTGTAGGCATGAGTTGAAGCTTCATACATCCCTTCCGTGACACTGAAATGTGCCTGAAGTTGCCAGCTGTTCCCCCATGTCTGTCTACTACTATCATTTTCTATAGCAACAGCAAGGTATCATATTCAGCATGCAACATCAATACCGAAGATGGGACTTCTGTGCCAATTCGTTGCCTGTGACTTGGCAGAGTCAGCCAACCTGCAGCTTGGTTTCTGAAAGGCTATTTCAAAATGTTGTTTTTTTTAATCAAATCATCCCCTCCTATTTATTTCTGCCACTATGGAAGAGTGTGACAAAAATGTACTTCAAATCAACCCATAGAATTCATTCTCTGTTCTGCTAAAAGGTTAATGGCAAAGCCAGCGTGGTAAAATGTAGGCGTTGATGTTGTTGTTGTTGTTGTTGTTGTTGTAATTATTAATTTAATATAATAATTATGCTGCTTTGAATCTTGTTTAAGAGATGAAAGCTCTCAACATTAAAAGTAGAATTTTAAATACTATATATTTAAATCCTGTAACATATAAATATTACAATAGAATTAAACATTGAATGTTAAAAACAGTTATAATCACACAAAACCATTCAAAACTCATAAAATAATTACAAGAACACATAGCACTCTGGCTCTTTTTTAAAATGTATGTCTTCAGGGGGAGTGTAAAGCTATTTAGCACAAGGTGAAATCCCTATTCCCAAATCTACCTATCTCTGCTCTTGAAGATCATTTTGTGAAAAGTTGTTGCTTTTCCTTTCTTTTCCCTCAGTCAAAACAGAACTTGAAAGTGTGAGGAACATAGGATGAGATTAAAAAGAAGTTTGTCAAGAAACACTATTCTTTCAGAGCACTTATTTCTATGAATCAGGGTATTTCAAAGGCTGAACATCTCACAAAAAAGAAGCACATTTACCACTTCTGATTCGGGATTAGAATGGAATGCACAGCATGTGTCTATACAGAGTGTGTGTGTGTGTGTTTATTTGTATGTGTTTATTTATTTACATTGGTAGCAGTTCTTTTTTTTAAAGCAGGGGGACAGTTCCTAAACACCGTAGACACACAAATAGTTGATTGTCTATAAAAGCTACTGGGGGCAAAGTCTAATTCCTTGTCACAAAAAGTTCTATTGTTGTGAATCACTTGAACACATTCTTCCACAGTGTTTTGTTTCTGTAGTCTTATTACAGACATAAATTATTCAGTTAGGGGAAGATTATTGGTTCCCTTCAGAGCATGACTTGGAAAACCTGGTTTACCATCCAGTCATTAAATAAGCTGTATGATACAAGTGTATTTGTGAATGAGAGAGAAGCAGGAAGAGGATGCCGAGAGAGGACTTGAGACTGAGAAGCAAGCCTGTATTATTTTGTGGCCTTGCGTGTGAAGCAGTGTGCTGAATAATTAAGGCAGTTGGCAAGGGCCCACTGTACACCAGCTAATTAGTATAATAAGTATTAGAGGCGGATTACAGCCTGTAATGATTACACTGCTAATGTACATTGTGCAGCACACACACACACACACACTGTTAAGGTTTTTATTTGTTTGCTCCATATTAAAATACATTTCACAGAGAAAACCTGGTGTTAAGCTGTAGGGAAGACTCAGGTATATACAGCACTAAGAATAATAACAGTTAAATGAGTTTGTGTTAATTCATGAATTTTGAGCAGAGAAGGGTTTTGAACCGGGGACTTCGTAGTTTATATTCCCATCCCTGTAATAATGCAAATCTCAGTTCCTTCATCTTTTGACATCTTCCCCTTTTCCTCCTTGCAGAGTCACCTGGTGTCTGTTGAGGCTTCTGAATGTAAACCCTTGCAGATGTATAGATCCCTTCCCACCAGAGAGCATCAACTCCTGGCCCTGCAACAGACCAGTGAATTTGATGTCCTTATCATAGGCGGAGGTGCTACTGGTAGTGGTTGTGCCTTAGATGCGGTTACAAGAGGTGAGTCCAGTATATATGCCTACTGTGTCATAGGTAAATATTCCTTTTCCCCACTGAGTTCTGAATGAATGCTTATATTTATGTATTCGTTTATTCGTTGTATTTACTTTATTTATGCCCCACCTTTCTCCCTATGGGGACTCAAGGCAGCTAACAAACACACAATCTGATCATAGTTTAAAATAAAGCAAATTAAAAAACAACAACAAATAGTAAAGAAG